TTTTCCTTCTCAATCCTTTTCTCAAGAACCTTTGACACTTATTATCATGAGCTAGACACAGCGTCACCACAATTAGGCTCAAAATCAAAGCTTATCAAGAAACGTCCATCCAAACACCCCATTTGTTAATAAAGTCCTCCCTCTTAGGAAATGGTAAGGAGAATAACGTTACATTTTTTCTTCATATAAGTTTTTATACATTAAACAAATTAACAAATCGCTCCCGCCAAAATCACCGTTAGATCGAATAAAAATAAACATAAATGAGCAAAAACAAGTAAAAATAATCAATCCAAATAAATAAATAAATAAAATAATAAACAAATTAAAAACTGCCCCCCACCAAAATAGCAGAATAGACTACGGCAATCAATCCAAAAATTGGACGAATAAATAGCTTTATCTTCTCAGACCAAAACAAACTATTAAAAAAGCGACCTAAGCAAATCCCCCAAATTTTTTTTCACTACGTTAATAAAACATAGAAAACCAAAAAGAATAAATAAATATATAAAATAAAAACAAGTAAAATAAATTAACCCAAATAAATAAATAAACAAGCCACTCCCTCTAAAATAACCGCCAGAATGGATTAGCCACAATACACCACTGATCCAACATATATAAATAGTCCAGAAAAAAATCCAACACTTGCGGCCTGACGATTGCGTCTAGCATGAAACAGCCTATCGCCTCTGAATGTTGACTTCAATGTTCATATATATATATATATATATATATATATATATATATATATATATATATATATATATATATATATATATATCCAAATTCAAATATATAACTATAATTTAAATACAAATACACACATCTAATATGTAGTTTCAAATATAATACAAATGTACGCGCAAATACCATGACATATCCACGTATACAAATATGTTACATAGATCCAGATTTACATATATACACAATTGCATTGTGCGTTGTGTATAGATATACTATTACACTATGGGGGGTGGTATTGTGCTTGTTGAAGGCAGTGCCATTTTTTCGCCAAACACTTGTCGCTGTGTTCCTTCCGAATAGTTCAACTTTCGTTTCATCCGACCAGATAACCTTTTTCCAAAACTGCATACCTTTCTTTTCGTAAGTTTCGACAAACTTTAATCGATCTTTGACATGTTTGGTTTTGAGTAAAGGCACTTTTCTTGGTGATCTTGAATGAAAGCCTGTACGATATAGAGCTCTGCTAATCGTATCCTTACTTACATTAATTCCAGCACCCTCAAGATCAGTTTTAATTTCAGAGCGAGTAATGAAGGTTTTTTTTTTGCACATTTCTGCTGATCCACCTTGAAGCACTCTCATTTATTTTTCTCGATCTTCCATTTATTGGAAGGTTTGCTGTACCGTCGCCATACTTCTTATACTTTCTGATAATATTTCCTACTGTACTTAGTGCTAGATTCATTTCTTTGCTAATTTTTCGGTAACCTTGTCCTCCTTTGTGACGTTCAATGATTTTATCTCGCATATCTCTTGATAATTCTTTAGTTTTTGCCATTTTTAATCCTTGAATTGCAGAATGCACATCAAAGAGTCAGATGATTAGCAGCACTATCTTGTAAACAATTGTGTGCTTCTCTGATTGGTCGGAGATAACATTCCAATACTATCGAAAATTTGAATATTTAAAGTCTTTTAAAATACAAAGTTTCGATTGGAAATTTGAAAAAAGTGTCATGTATCCAATACTTTTGCATAGGGTAATTTTGAACTTTGATAAAAAAAATGGATTCAACCATGAGTTTTTAATTTTCCTTCCACATACAACTAAAACAACGTTACGAGATATTACTTACCAAATATCATGCAAAATGGCGAATATAAACTAGAGTTATAACAGAAAATAACATGTATCCAATACTTATGCGTGTCACTGTATATATATATATATATATATATATATATATATATATATATATATATATATGAAAAAAAGACAAATTTAAGGGTCAATTGGTTATAATTTAGTTCCCCAAGGAATTTCTTTTTCCCTGATACATCAGACCACACTTCCAAGGGTGAAAAAATGAACTTTCTGTGGAATTAAATAATAACAATGGACCCTTAAAGTTGTCTGTTTTCATTGAATTAATCGCTCTGATTTAACATCGAGCTCTCTGGATTTTATCCTACTTGGGATTATCCTTACGGATTACCAAGATTTTCATTACTTTATATATATATATATATATATATATATATATATATATATATATATATGATACCACTGTGCAACTGTGAACTGTCACTAAGCTTCTTCGGATTATTCTTTGGTGACACGTGTGACCGCGAAATGGCAACTGCATGATGTCCTCAGACCCAACTATCGTGTCCTTGTGCTAGACAAAACAAAACTTAATATAATAAATATCAAAAGCTATATTTAAAATGTCCCGCAACAGAAACATGTTCCAAATTTCGAATAAACCAACTTCCAATTACATTAAAAAAAAAAGAAGATTTTAATAATAGTCCTTTAATTTACTGAAACGTAATTAAATGATTCATTATTGAGACGCATCGTAACGATGATTAATTTTTATACAAGATTAGTCTAGAATTGATCGATAGAGATCCATATAGATCGATGAAATAGTGCAGACGTTTAGCAGAAGTTGATAAAATTCAACGAGTAACAATTTAGGGGAAAAATGTAATGGCTGAACATATTTCTGCTCGTGGAAATCATTAGTTTTCTAATCACAATAATTGGACGACAATTATTTTCTATTTTGTTCACTCATTATGACCAGAAAAATGAGCTACAGTTAAAGAAACATGGCCGATTCTCGTGCTTAATGCTTTCATAATCTGAGAACGTGCGTTTTCACAGAAATAGTTCATCAGCTTATCTATTGACAACGTATTGATGGCGGACACAGAAAGAAAACTGTAAGTAGTCCTAGACAATCTAATAAAATAAAGTAAGAAAGCAATAGATAACAATTGCAAGAAGATAGAATGTATGGTCGCAGCAAATCTATGATAAAGCCCGATCCCCGAATCTATGATACAGCCAACTCCCCGAATCTATGACACAACCTGGTCCTCGAATCTATGATACAGCCAGCTACTCGAATCTATGACAGCCAGCTCTTCAAATCTATGATACAGCCAGTTCTTCAAATCTATGATACAGCCCTCTCCCTGAATCTATGATACTGTCCGCTCCCCGAATCTATGACACAGGCAGCTCCTCAAATCTATGATACAGCCAGCTCCCCGAATCTGTGATACAGCCAGCTCCCCGAATCTGTGATACAGCCAGCTCCCCGAATCTATGATATTGTCCGCTCACCGAATCTACGACACAGCCAGCTCTTCAAATCTATGATACAACCAGTTCCCCGAATCTATGATATTGTCCGCTCACCGAATCTATGACACAGCCAGCTCTTCAAATCTATGATACAACCAGTTCCCCGAATCTATGATATTGTCCGCTCAGCGAATCTATGACACAGCCAGCTCTTCAAATCTATGATACAACCAATTCCCCGAATCTATGATATTGTCCGCTCACCGAATCTATGATACAGCCAGCTCTTCAAATCTATGATACAGCCAGTTCCCCGAATCTATGATACAGTCCGCTCACCGAATCTATGATACAGCCAGCTCTTCAAATCTATGATACAGCCAGTTCCCCGAATCTATGATACAGTCCTCTCTCTGAATCTATGATACTGTCCGCTCCCCGAATTTATGATACAGGCAGCTCCTCAAATCTATGATACAGCCAGTTCTCCGAATCTATGATATTGTCCGCTCACCGAATCTATGACACAGCCAGCTCTTCAAATCTATGATACAACCAGTTCCCCGAATCTATGATATTGTCCGCTCACCGAATCTATGACACAGCCAGCTCTTCAAATCTATGATACAACCAGTTCCCCGAATCTATGATATTGTCCGCTCGCCGAATCTATGACTCAGCCAGCTCTTCAAATCTATGATACAACCAGTTCCCCGAATCTATGATATTGTCCGCTCACCGAATCTATGACACAGCCAGCTCTTCAAATCTATGATACAACTAATTCCCCGAATCTATGATATTGTCTGCTCACCGAATCTATGACACAGCCAGCTCTTCAAATCTATGATACAACCAATTCCCCGAATCTATGATATTGTCCGCTCACCGAATCTATGACACAGCCAGCTAGCCAGCTCTTCAAATCTATGATACAACCAATTCCCTATGAATCTATGATATTGTCCGCTCACCGAATCTATGACACAGCCAGCTCTTCAAATCTATGATACAACCAATTCCCCGAATCTATGATATTGTCTGCTCACCGAATCTATGACAGCCAGCTCTTTCAAATCAGCCAGCTCTTCAAATCTCACCGAATCTACAACCAAATCCCCGAACCATCTAATGATATTGTCCGCTCACCGAATCTAAATGACAACAGCCAGCTCTTCAAATATATGATACAACCTTCAAATTCCCCCGAATCTATGATATTGTCTGCTCACCGAATCTATGACACAGCCAGCTCTTCAAATCTATGATACAACCAATTCCCCGAATCTATGATATTGTCCGCTCACCGAATCTATGACACAGCCAGCTCTTCAAATCTATGATACAACCAGTTCCCCGAATCTATGATATTGTCCGCTTCTCAACCAATTCCAATCTATGACACGAATCTATGACCAGCCAGCTCTTCAAATCTATGATACAACCAATTCCCCGAATCTATGATATTGTCCGCTCACCGAATCTATGATACAGCCAGCTCTTCAAATCTATGATACAACCAGTTCCCTATGAATCTATGATACAGTCCTCTCTGAATATATGATATTGTCCGTCCGCTCCCCAGAATTTATGATACAGGCAGCTCCTCAAATCTATGATAAATCTATGATACCAGTTCTCCGAATCTATGATATTGTCCGCTCACCGAATCTATGACACAGCCAGCTCTTCAAATCTATGATACAACCAGTCTCCGCTCACCGAATCTATGATGATTGTCCGCTCACACGAATCTATGACACAGCCAGCTCTTCAAATCTATGATACAACCAGTTCCCTCACCGAATCTATGACACAGACAGCTCTTCAAATCTATGATACAACAGAATCTATGATATTGTCCGCTCAAATCTATGACACCGAATCTAACACGTAACCTCTTCAAATCAAACATCTCTGAATCTATGATATTGTCCGCTCACCGAATCTATGACTCAGCCAGCTCTTCAAATCTATGATACAACCAGTTCCCCGAATCTATGATATTGTCCGCTCACCGAATCTATGACACAGCCAGCTCTTCAAATCTATGATACAAATCTATGATTGTCAACCAATTCCCCTATGAATCTATGATATTGTCTGCTCACCGAATCTATGACACAGCCAGCTCTTCAAATCTATGATACAACCAATTCCCCGAATCTATGATATTGTCCGCTCACCGAATCTATGATACAACCAGTTCCCCGACAGCCAGCTCTTCAAATCTATGATACAACCAATTCCCCGAATCTATGATATTGTCTGCTCACCGAATCTATGACACAGCCAGCACTTCAAATCTATGATACAACCAATTCCCTATGAATCTATGATATTGTCTGTCCGCTCACCGAATCTATGACACAGCCAGCTCTTCAAATCTATGATACAAACAATTCCCCGAATCTATGATATTGTCCGCTCACCGAATCTATGACACAGCCAGCTCTTCAAATCTATGATACAACCAATTCCCCGAATCTATGATATTGTCCGTTCACCGAATCTATGACACAGCCAGCTCTTCAAATCTATGATACAACCAATTCCCCGAATCTATGATATTGTCCGCTCACCGAATCTATGACACAGCCAGCTCTTCAAATCTATGATACAGTCCTATCTTGTCCGAATCTATGATACTGTCCGCTCCCAGTTCTCCAAATCTATGACCGCTCACCGAATCTATGACTCAGCCAGCTCCCCAGCAGAATCTATGATATTGTCCGCTCACCGAATCTATGCTCCTCAAATCTATGATACAGACAGCTCCCCGAATCTATGATATTGTCCGCTCACCGAATCTACGACACAGCCAGCTCTTCAAATCTATGATACAACCAGTTCCCCGAATCTATGATATTGTCCGCTCACCGAATCTATGACACAGCCAGCTCTTCAAATCTATGATACAACCAGTTCCCCGAATCTATGATATTGTCCGCTCACCGAATCTATGACACAGACAGCTCTTCAAATCTATGATACAACCAGTTCCCCGAATCTATGATATTGTCCGCTCACAGCCAGCCTTCAAATCTATGACAATCTATGATATTGTCCAGAATCTTCAAATCTATGATACAACCAATTCCCCAATCTCCCCGAAATCTATGATATTGTCCGCTCACCGAATCTATGACACAGCCAGCTCTTTCAAATCTATGATACAACCCCCAATCCCCGAATCTATGATATTGTCCGCTCACCGAATCTATGATACAGCCAGTCTTTTTCAAATCTATGATACAGCCAGTTCCCCGAATCTATGATACAGTCCTTCTCTATGAATCTATGAATCCGTCCGCACAGCCAGCTCTTCAAAATCTATGATACAACCAGTTCCCCGAATCTATGATATTGTCCGCTCAGCGAATCTATGACACAGCCAGCTCTTCAAATCTATGATACAACCAATTCCCCGAATCTATGATATTGTCCGCTCACCGAATCTATGATACAGCCAGCTCTTCAAATCTATGATACAGCCAGTTCCCCGAATCTATGATACAGTCAGCTCTTCAAATCTCTCTGAATCTATGATACTGTCCAACCAATTCCGAATCTATGATATTGTCCAAATCTATGATACAACCAGTTCCCCGAATTTGATATTGTCCGCTCATAATCAGGCAGCCAGCTCAAATCTATGATACAACCAGTTCTCCGAATCTATGATATTGTCCGCTCACCGAATCTATGACACAGCCAGCTCTTCAAATCTATGATACAACCAGTTCCCCCGAATCTATGATATTGTCCGCTCACCGAATCTATGACACAGCCAGCTCTTCAAATCTATGATACAACCAGTTCCCCGAATCTATGATATTGTCCGCTCACCGAATCTATGACTCAGCCAGCTCTTCAAATCTATGATACAACCAGTTCCCCGAATCTATGATATTGTCCGCTCACCGAATCTATGACACAGCCAGCTCTTCAAATCTATGATACAACCAATTCCCACAGACAGCTCAAATCTAAGTACAGCTCACCGAATCTATGATACAGAATCTATGATATTGTCTATGATATTGTCACCGAATCTATGACACAGCCAGCTCTTCAAATCTATGATACAACCAATTCCCCGAATCTATGATATTGTCCGCTCACCGAATCTATGACACAGCCAGCTCTTCAAATCTATGATACAACCAATTCCCCGAATCTATGATATTGTCCGCTCACCGAATCTATGACACAGCCAGCTCTTCAAATCTATGATACAACCAATTCCCCGAATCTATGATATTGTCTGCTCACCGAATCTATGACACAGCCAGCTCTTCAAATCTATGATACAAACAATTCCCGCTCACCGAATCTATGATATTGTCCGCTCACCGAATCTATGACACAGCCAGCTCTTCAAATCTATGATACAACCAATTCCCCCGAATCTATGATATTGTCCGAATCTATGACACAGCCAGTTCAAATCTGAATGAATCAGTTCCCCGAATATGATATTGTCCGCTCACCGAATCTATGACACAGCCAGCTCTTCAAATCTATGATACAACCAATTCCCGAATCTATGATATTGTCCGCTCACCGAATCTATGTCCGCTCACACAGCCAGCCAGCTTTCAAATCTATGATACAAACCAATTCCCCAGAATCTATGATATTGTCCGCTCACCGAATCTATGACACAGCCAGCTCTTCAAATCTATGATACAACCAATTCCCCGAATCTAGATCCCCTGAATCTATGATACAGTCAGCTCCCCGAATCTATGATACAACCAGGCAGTCTCCTCAAATCTATGATACAGCCAGCTCTTCAAATCTATGATACAACCAGTTCCCGAATCTATGATATTGTCCGCTCACCGAATCTATGACAGCCAGCTCTTCAAATCTATGATACAATCCAGTTCCCCTGAATCTATGATATTGTCCGCTCACCGAATCTATGACACAGCCAGCTCTTCAAATCTATGATACAACCAGTTCCCTGAATCTATGATATTGTCCGCTCACCGAATCTATGACACAGCCAGCTCTTCAAATCTATGGTACAACCAATTCCCCGAATCTATGATATTGTCCGCTCACCGAATCTATGACACAGCCAGCTCTTCAAATCTATGATACAACCAATTCCCCGAATCTATGATATTGTCCGCTCACCGAATCTATGACACAGCCAGCTCTTCAAATCTATGATACAACCAGTTCCCCGAATCTATGAATCTATGATATTGTCTGCTCACCGAATCTATGATATTGTCCGCTCACACAGCCAGCTCTTCAAATCTATGATACAACCAGTTCCCCGAATCTATGATATTGTCCGCTCACCGAATCTATGACACAGCCAGCTCTTCAAATCTATGATACAACCAATTCCCCGAATCTATGATATTGTCTGCTCACCGAATCTATGACACAGCCAGCTCTTCAAATCTATGATACAACCAATTCCCCGAATCTATGATATTGTCCGCTCTTCGAATCTATGATACAGCCAGCTCTTCAAATCTATGATACAGTCACCTCTCTGAATCTATGATACAGTCCGCTCTCGAATCTATGACACAGTCAGCTCTTCAAATCTATGATACAGCCAGCTCCCTCAAATCTATGATACAGCCAGCTCTTCAAATCTATGTTCCCCCGAATCTATGATATTGTCCGCTCACTGAATCTATGATACAGCCAGCCCGAATCTATGACACAGCCAGCTCCCCAAATCTATGATACAAACAAGTCTCGAATCTATGATATTGTCCGCTCACCGAATCTATGACACAGCCAGCTCTTCAAATCTATGATACAACCAGTTCCCCGAATCTATGATATTGTCCGCTCACCGAATCTATGACACAGCCAGCTCTTCAAATCTATGATACAACCAGTTCCCCCCCGAATCTATGATATTGTCCGCTCACCGAATCTATGACACAGCCAGCTCTTCAAATCTATGATACAACCAATTCCCCGAATCTATGATATTGTCCGCTCACCGAATCTATGACACAGCCAGCTCTTCAAATCTATGATACAACCAATTCCCCGAATCTATGATATTGTCCGCTCACCGAATCTATGACACAGCCAGCTCTTCAAATCTATGATACAACCAATTCCCCGAATCTATGATATTGTCCGCTCACCGAATCTATGACACAGCCAGCTCTTCAAATCTATGATACAACCAATTCCCCGAATCTATGATATTGTTCACCGTCTATGCTCACCGAATCTATGAACCAATACAGCCAGCTCTTCAAATCTATGATACAAACCAATTCCCCGAATCTATGATATTGTCCGCTCACCGAATCTATGACACAGCCAGCTCTTCAAATCTATGATACAACCAATTCCCCGAATCTATGATATTGTCCGCTCACCGAATCTATGACACAGCCAGCTCTTCAAATCTATGATACAACCCTTCCCCGAATCTATGATATTGTCCGCTCACCGAATCTATGACACAGCCAGCTCTTCAAATCTATGATACAACCAGCTCCCGCTCACCGAATCTGTGATACAGCCAGCTCTTCAAATCTATGATACAACCAGTTCCCCGAATCTATGATATTGTCCGCTCACCGAATCTATGACACAGCCAGCTCTTCAAATCTATGATACAACCAGTTCCCCGAATCTATGATATTGTCCGCTCACCGAATCTATGACACAGCCAGCTCTTCAAATCTATGATACAACCAATTCCCCGAATCTATGATATTTGTCCCTCAAATCTATGATACAGTCAGTTCTCTGAATCTATGATATTGTCCGCTCACCAAATCTATGATACAGCCAATCCCCGAATATGATATTGTCCGCTCACCGAATCTATGACACAGCCAGCTCTTCAAATCTATGATACAACCAATTCCCCGAATCTATGATATTGTCCGCTCACCGAATCTATGACACAGCCAGCTCTTCAAATCTATGATACAACCAATTCCCCGAATCTATGATATTGTCCGCTCACCGAATCTATGACACAGCCAGCTCTTCAAATCTATGATACAACCAATTCCCCGAATCTATGATATTGTCCGCTCACCGAATCTATGACACAGCCAGCTCTTCAAATCTATGATACAGTCCCAGTTCCCTGAATCTATGATATTGTCTGCTCACCGAATCTATGACACAGCCAGCTCTTCAAATCTATGATACAACCAGCTCCCCGAATCTATGATATTGTCCGCTCACCGAATCTATGACACAGCCAGCTCTTCAAATCTATGATACAACCAATTCCCCGAATCTATGATATTGTCCGCTCACCGAATCTATGACACAGCCAGCTCTTCAAATCTATGATACAACCAATTCCCGAATCTATGATATTGTCCGCTCACCGAATCTATGACACAGCCAGTTTCTTCAAATCTATGATACAACCAGTTCCCCTGAATCTATGATACAGTCCGCTCACCGAATCTATGACACAGCCAGCTCTTCAAATCTATGATACAACCAATCTATGTTCCCCGAATCTATGATATTGTCCGCTCAGCGAATCTATGACACAGCCAGCTCTTCAAATCTATGATACAACCAATTCCCCGAATCTATGATATTGTCCGCTCACCGAATCTATGACACAGCCAGCTCTTCAAATCTATGATACAACCAGTTCCCCGAATCTATGATATTGTCCGCTCACCGAATCTATGACACAGCCAGCTCTTCAAATCTATGATACAACCAGTTCCCCGAGCTCCTCCAGCCAGCTCTTCAAATGAATCTAAATCTATGATACAGCCAGTTCTCTATGATATTGTCCGATACAAAATTCTC